ATATATACAACGTGGTTTAAATAATCCAAAACGTGTGTGTACACTATATATAAATCGTGAACAGTACAAGATATGGAGTTAGAACACATCATATATGTACACTGAGAAGACAGTACAGAAATAGCTAGAAGTTTTTACTATATATCCATAAGACATACACTGTAAGAACTCAAATACTGTGGGTCTTCAAAATCACTGACCGGCGGTCAAGACTACACTCAATGCAATATTACACAACAGGTGCTCAACACACCTCTAACATTTATAAAAAAATACAAAGTGCTGTGTAATTCAAAATGTCAAACCATTACATCTTGTAGTTTCATGGAATACTCGAGAATAATTTGATTGACTTTCCAGTTTATGTTAATTGATAATCAATATTTTATTTAACTCTAGATTCCAATGATGTCCAAAATCGAAGCACGCCCTTCTTACACGGCCGTTCAAAATGAGGTGGTAATGACCACTATGTGAACTGGCCTGTAATTTGAAAAGTGGTTTAGTTAGGGCTTTGACCGTAACACAAAATCACGCTCACACTCATATATATATATATATATATATATATATATATATATATATATATATATATATATATATATATATATATATATAATATATATGTATATATATATATGTATATATGTATATATATATATATATATATATATATATATATATATATATATATATATATATATATATATATATATATATATATATATATATATATATATACATGTACCTATATGTATATATATATGTATATAATAATATGTATATAATAATATGTATATGTATATATATATATATATATATTTATTTATTTATTTATACCATTTATATATAGCATATTACCTATCTAATAAAATGAAACATCAGACTCAAGATCAGCTCTATTTTAGCACAATTTGATATTTTAAATTTATTAAAATCCACTTTTTAAAATCTGAACATCCTGCCGCCATAAATAAATATTTGACACAATTTTTGTGGCCTCGGTAGAGAAAAGATCCATTTTCTACAAGATGTTTTGACAAGTTCAGCAAATAAATGACAAGGGGCTAGACAGACTAGTGTCTGCCAAATTCATTTTTTTTAAAAAAAGCAAACCAGGAAAAAATCCATTTTCGCTTACCACATTAAAAATCGTAATTTATTGCTCCAGATTTTTCGCAACGTACTTTTCGTAAAAAGGGTTATGAAAACTGATGGATGTGGCGAATGGGCTAGGGCTTTTATTAAATATGCATGATTTGTTAACAATTGTACTAAAGAAATGAGTAAATTATATAGCAAACAGAATAGTTGCTAGCTTAACAAATCCATATCATTTTGAACATTAAAAAAAAATCCGCATACATCATCAATGCGCAGTTAAAAATCTTGGTAGAATAAACATACTTTAAGATGGAGCATGCACTCTCAGAATCTGATATAGCTTCTGATTAAATCTTTCCCTCCAAGACAGAAATCGGGTTTTATATTTAATTTTACTGACCAAGAAAGTACTTGAACTTAAAATTGTATCTCTCCTCCCAGAATGAGACATATTGGACTACATTCGTGGTCGGCGTGGTCGAGTCGGTAAAGCTCATGGTTGCCTAACCGAAAAGTCTCGAGTTCAAACTCTCGGGCAGATGAGGCTCGTTAGCTGTGGACAGCCACTCTTCTGGGAGAGACAACTCTAAAATCAAACAACTGCTGCCTTGTAGTTTGTTCTTGGTTGGACAAAGGCTATGGAAGCAAATCCAAAAAGAAAATCAGGCTGAAATTGGAGTGAATGGCCTCATTGGCGCATAACTTGTTGACACGTTTACTTAATTGTGTTGGTGGGGATCACTTCCAATACTAAACTTGAGAAAGAAGAAGAAGAAGAAGGACTACATCCGATCCTGCCTTAATGATGGCTGCAACCACCCATCAATTCCAGACAATTTTAACTTAGAGTAAAGTACCATTTTGAACCAGTCGGTCCGTGTGGAAGGTGAACCTAACCCTCCCTACCCGCAGGGGTGGAGTGGCCCGCTGGTCTACTGGGGAAAATTCCGGTGGGCCCCCAGGATGAAAATCTCAGTGGGCCCACAGTAAAAAAAAATACCGGTGGGCCACAGGAAAAATCTCGGTGGGCCCCAAGGAAAAATTTCTGAAAAGCCCTAGGAAAGAAAGAATCTATTGCTCCCCCCCCCCAAGCTTGATGCTGTAATACACCTATTAGCAGGGGCGTAGCGAGGGGGGGGGGGGGACCGCACCGGGTGACACCATTTAGGGGGGTGACACCAAGGCAAAAAATAGCAAAATAAAGAGAGAAAAACTCGAGGGGGGGGGGGTGCAAATCGAAAGTTTGAGGGGGGTGCAAATCGAAAACTTGAGGGGGGGGGGGTGCAAATCGAAAGTTTGAGGGGGGGGGGGGTGCAAATCGAAAATTTGAAAGTTTGTCCCTGGGAAGGGTCTCTATGCCTCTGGGGGGGGGGGTGACACCGTCAATTGCCGCACCGGGTGACACCCGACCTCGCTACGCCACTGCCTATTAGTGAGATTTATAAAAAAATATTGTTGGAATTCCTCCAGGTTACAATTTCTATTCCTTCATACCTATGCGTAAAATTTAATTTGATCATAAAAAAAATACACAATGAAAATTTCTATCTATAGTCACCCCCCCCCCCCCCTCCCCCCCCCTTGAAAATTTCCCGGGCTTCTTGAACACAGCCAGCCCGCCCCTGCTTCCCATTTTACAATCCTCTCTAAATAAATCAGTGATGCACTAAACAAGAAGCCAGAAAGACACTTAGGGGTCGTCCACACATAACGTCACCCTCGAAGGGAGGAGGGAGGGGGAGGGGGTCAGTAATTTTGTGTCGGTGTGTGATGAAGGGGGAGATGGGGGGGGGGGGATGTGACGTCACGCTTTTGCATTATAAAAAAGCAATTTTAGAAAATGCGTTCTATCCGTTATTTCGCGTTTTAGAAAACTGTTTTAATAAAATGTAATAGGAATTTATTAAAATACTCAATGTTGACATAGTTGTGACAAGATTTTGGAAAAATATCGATGTTTTAAGAAAAATTCAACTGCATTTTTACGAGGGTGGGGGGGGGGGGGTGTAGGCTGGGGTGTGACGTCATTTTGGGGGGGGGGGGTGGCTTTTTGTGACGATGTGTGACAGAGGGGATATGGGGAAGGTAAAATCATCCCAAAAAACATGACGTCATTTATGGATGACGCCTTATTAGATCACCAGCTGACGCAGGAGACTACAAGCCTAACCAGGTTTTCAATAAACTCGTGAGTTCCCCCTGACATCTTAATCCGGGTAACGTGATCAGGGACTGCCATACCACCGGCCACGCCTAGCATGTTTTGATAACATAGTGACATGAATTCCCCTTTTTTACGTATGTCAAGAGAAGAGCACAGTTCTATCCCCTTTTTTTAACAGCACCTATAGAGTTATTTCCCTTGTAAGGACCTCGGCATCATTAGCATAAAAATAATGTTACAACTAGCGAATTAATGTGCGGCGTAGAGATTTATGTTATAATAAAAAGCGTGTAACCAGTTATGAAGCTGGTGTATGGAAACTATGGGATAAACACGATGTTTTCGGAAGGGGCTGGGGGGGGGGGGGGGGCGTCAACAATACACGAAAACAGCGAACACCTGATTTGGTGTCTAGTTAAAAATAGCACGTCTGACACACATGTGTTGAGACTGTTTTGTTTTTTAACAGTGAAAATCTGGAGTACGACTCCCAGGGGCACTCTGATAAGACGTCCCTGAGTCTTCCCAACAGAAGAGGCTGAATGATTATTGATTACATCAGCTCTACTTCTTCTGCTCTATCAATGTGCACATGGTCTCATCATCATTATTCCTTCGTGGCCCCTGGGGAGCAAAGGGCTGCAACTACACATTTCCAGCGGACTCGGTTTTGGGCTGCTCCCTTAATCTGTGCCCATGTGAGCCCAACTGTTTTTGCCTCTTCCTCAACCGTTCTTTTCCATGTTTTCCTTGGCCGACCCACCCTCCTTTTTCCCTGGGGATTCCAGTCCATAGCATGTTTTGTGATGTTTTCTTTTTCTCTTCTTAACGTGTGTCTGATCCATCCCCATTTACGGGCCTTGATATTTTTCTCTATTGGCTGTTGCTTTAAAATTTGCCACAGGTCTTTGTTTGATATTTTGTCTCGCCATCTTATTTGAAGTATATGTCGTAATTATTTATTTTGATCCTACTTTTGGCAAGTTACTAAATTTAATGAAGCTTAAAGAAATACTTATATCTAACATTTTTAAGAACATTGTCTTTTTATACAAGTAAAGTAAAGATTCCTCTTTAGACGTCGCGATTAAATGCAGTACAGTTCATATGTTTCGTAAAAGGATATTATGGTTAACACTTAGCCCAACCAATTATTGTTAAAATTTAAAATTGAGTAAAATATTGTAGCAAAAAATATCGTTTAGTTATGTTGGCTATAGCGAAAAATTTTAGAAGTTGACCATTGCGTCAACTTCAAATGTTGAAAATTGCGACAACATTCAGAAGTTGTCCAAGTTAACATTTCTTTAGATGTATTTATAGACAAATCTGATTATTACTGCAAGAAGAAATTCTACGTAGAACCAATACTTTAATCTCTAAACACAGCCTCTAATGGGATAATTTCAAATCACCCACCCATTAATTAAAATTGCCCCAACTTCTTCACTCTAACCGCTCAGCTGAAAATAGTAGGCTAATTAAAATCGCACCTATCCCTAAAATAAAAATCGCCCCCATATCTTAGTTTAAAATCGCCCTTTCACCCCTAAATTAAAATCGCGCCCCCGACCCTTAATTAAAATCCCCCTAACCTCCATTCCCCTCCAGTGAAGCCTGTTGAGCTCTATGAAAAATGACAAGCCCATGCATACATTATCTCGGTTCTCCCAGCACACACATATCCCCTGAGGTATGTCTTTCAACCCTGGTCAGGCCGTGTGACCTAGCGCCGCACATGGGTGGCTTATCTCACCTGGGCTTTAATCCGCGGCTTAAGCCGGAACTCCAAAGCGCAGTACGGCCCTCGAGCTAAACTAAGAACATGAGGGCGGGTCTATGGCATGCGGAATATACTGCATTGTGTTTGAAGTTTCGGGATAATTAGTTCGTTAATTAATGAACCTTGTTTACGATTATCAAAGTGATTAATTTGAAAATTATTTGAGAACCTGAAAGTATTTGTGGTGTGTTAACAGGAGGTAATTCGGTGTCGTAATTATTTTAGGAGAGGTTTATTTGATATGGGGATTGTGTATATATAATATGTAGGTTATGTATATGATCTATAGTTTGTGTATATGATCTGTAGGTTGTGTATGTGATATGTAGGTTGTATATATAATATGTAGGTTGTGTATATGATCTATAGGTTGTGTATGAGATCTGTAGGTTGTGTATGTATAATATGTAAGTTGTGTATATGATGTGTAGATTGTGTGTATGATGTTAGGTTTTGAATATGGTCTGTATGTTGTGTATGTGATATGTAGGTTGTCTATATTATATGTAGGTTTTCTATATGATATGTAAGTTGTCTATGTGATATGTAGGTTGTGTATATAACCTCTAGTTTGTGTCAAGTTAGTAATCATGTAATTATGGAGTTGTGTCTTCATCAGAACCAATAAGGCTATTTTCAACACAATTCATGATAACAAATAAAAACAATCAATACTAAAGTCTACTAATAACAAAGCGAATGCTTGCAATTTCATTTAAAATTATATTAGATTATACAAACACACACAAGCTCACATTCGTATATAAATTTAAATACATACATACATATATCTGTATATATATAGACTGATACATGGATAGAAAAGTATAAATACATGTGCTAGTACAGTATTATAGAAATGCAATTTTGAAAGAGTAACTTTCACAATAAAATTTTAATTTTCTCGCAGTCTGGTGTATCTTTAAAATTACGTTCTACATCTATTCAAATTACACAAATGTTCTGTATTTATAATGTCAATTAAATTTCCTACAGAATTTGGGGTGACAACTTTCTGTGTGCACCTAAAAACAACAATTTTATATCCGTACCATTTCGAAGCACTTTTTTCAAGGAAAGGATAAGATTCTCAAAGAACACAACAATCTTCTAGCGTTGGACATAATCAGTTCAGAATTTAACAAGACTTAAGGAATCTGGTTTCATTAAACAAAAATCTTCCTGCTTGTGATATTTATTCACACATTGGTGACAGTATTCAAAGTATTAGAAGTTCCAGAATGAATAGTTCTAGTTTAAGCTGCATCGCTGCCATCTTTGTTTGTTTTGGTGTGGGCTGTATTTGGTGCCAGCCGAGTGCCGAGGCTAATTATTTAGGTAGGTGTGGCTAATTTTAGTTTTTTGACATTTGGGTAGGTTGGCTAATTTTAGTTTTTTTTTTACATTTAGGTATGTTTGACTAATTTTAGTTTTTTGACATTTGGGTATATGTAACTACTTTTATTTTTTTGACATTTGTGTATGTGTGGCTAATTTTAGTTTTTTGACATTTAGGTAGGTGTGGCTAATTTTAGTTTTTTGTCATTTAGGTACGTGTGACTAATTTTAGTTTTTTGACATTTGGGTATGTGGTAACTAATTTTAGTTTTTGACATTTGGGTATTTGGTAACTAATTTTAGTTTTTCTGACAATTATTTAAGTGCCAATCTTGCCCGGGAAAAATCGAAAAAACAACAACAATTAACTGTATAAAAAATGTATATTTTAACATCATAAAGTTTCATGTCCCCCCCCCCCCCCCAGAGAAAAATGTCTAAACGAAACATTACAGCTCATAAATCCACACCGAGTAAATTACATCCCCGACTCATCCTGCCCTAAATACATTTTGCATCATTTTACCTTTTGATTACCCCCTTTCAAAAAGCACCTGATAATTACACCCATCCTCTTCTTCCCCTTTCCGCGTCGAAAAAAACAAATACAAGAAAATCGACATTCTATTGAATGCCTAAAATGAACCGACACAAAAAAAAAAAAAACAAATCGTGTTTCAACCTATCTCTTGGCATTTCAATAGAATCCTACACAGAAGAGATTGGAAAGTGTCAAATAAGTTCATGCCCTTCAGAAAATGTGATAGCCAATGGTACTAAACTTAGCTCTGAACTCCATTCTAACCTTAACCCTGACCGTACGTTTAGTACCGATCCTAGTTTTACTGATCCTAATTATATGGTCCCTCTTTTAGGTCCAAGGATCATTTGAAGCATTATGTATTCTTTTTCTTATCCTAAAAACAAGCATCTTTACCGATTTCTTTTAAAATAAACTGTCGATATTACTTTTAACCATAATTTTGAGTCTGTTTTGTCGTTATGTCATTCATAACCTTATATAAAATCTGGTTATGTAGTAGCATATATACAATATAGGAACGTAATTGATACATTTATATAAAATATTGTTGTGTCATTCATAACTTAATGTAAAATATTGTTATGTAATTAAAATCTTTAGATTAAATATTTATATGTAGACTTAATTAACTTAAGATAAAAATTATTACATAATTTATAATAATAAACATTATGTAGTATTGTTACTTAATAACCTTAAATAAAATATTGTTATGTAATTAATTACTTTATATAGAATATTGGTATGAATGTAAAATATGATTACGTAATTTACAGCTTTATATAAAATGTTTATATTGAGGCCTAACTAATAGCTTTATAAAAAAATTATTATGTAATTAATAACTAATAACTTTTAAAAAGTATTGTTACGTACTTAATAACTTCATATAAATATTGTTTTGTAATAAATAACATTTTATTAAATATTGTTATGGGATTAATAACTTTATATAAATATTGTAGGTATTAATAATTTTATATAAATATTCTTATGTCTCTATTAATTGATATAAATATTTTTATGTAACTAACTATTGTATATAAATATTGTTATGTAACTAATAGTTTTATATAAATATTCTTATGTCACTATTAATTTTATGTAAACATTTTTATGTAAGTAATAATTGTATATAAATATTGTTATGTAACTAATAATTGCATATAAATAGTGTTATGTAACTAATAATTGCATATAAATATTGTTATGTAACTAATAATTTTATATAAATATTGTTATGTAACTAATAATTGTATATAAATATTGTTATGCAAGTAATAATTTTATATAAATATCGTTATGTAACTAATAATTTTATATAAATACTGTTATTGAAACTAATCATTGTATATAAATATTATTATGTTATTAATAATTTTATATAAATATTGTTATGTAACTAATAATTGTATATAAATATTGTTATGTAACAAATACTTTTATATAACTATTGTTATGTAACTAATAGCTTTATACAAATATTGTTATGTAACTAACAATTTTATACAAATATTGTTATGAAACTAACAATTTTATATAAAGTATCGAACATCCAGTATCAGTATGTGCCTGTATGAGGTAGCAACAGTCTGACTACAGCAGTTTAAAATTTTGGAGCAGGAGTTTTCCTGACGCTATCCCTCTATCTTAGTACCTCTGTTATTTTTTCTCTCCATATTGCCAGTAGCTAACATCTCATTTACATTTTTATTTGACAATGGAATTCATTACACGCCAACTTGCTTCAGCACAGACTTACATTTGTTACACATTTGTCGCCATTAAAGGATGATGAATTGGAGGAACGGAATGTTTGTTTTCATGTTTGGTCCTTGTGTTTGGTTTCATTGCATTGTCGGGAATTTCCTGTTGTAGAAGACTCCAGAATCGCTTTAAATATTACGTTATTTTGATTAAAGGGAAAAAAAATAAAGTAACACATTTACGGTAATTTTTGTAGTAGTTGATGAATAAAACTGAAGAAATATACAAAATTAATAGGACACTACATACCGACCTAAAGCTAACAAAGAAATTATAGTAATAAGTATATTATTTCATTTTTTTAAATGGTGGTAATAGTAGGCACGATGTCCTTTTTATACTAGTTTATTAATAATATTTCGGAAATATGCAGAATTAATACACCACTAACATGTTAATTAAAATTACGAAGTCTAGAAATATTTTAAAATATTTATAGTACCTTTTAATTCAGATTAGGTATAATACAAAAGTTTGTTAGTATCACACACACACACATGTACATACACACACACAGAAACACACACACACACACACACTTATATATATATATATATATATATATATATATATATATATATATATATATATATATATGTTACGGTCAAAGCCCGAAGTGCGGCCAATGCTAGGATTGGCCGGCCAATCCGCGCATTGGCCGGCTCTCTTGGCCAAAGCCCGAAGAACTTAGCACTAAGATCGTATTTCGTACATTGGCCGGCCAATGCGCGCACTGGCCGGGACATACTGGCCAAAGTCCGAAGCGCTTAAACTTGACAGCATATTTTGTACATTGGCCGGCCAATGCGCGCACTGGCCGGTATGTCCTGGCCAATGTTCTATCTAGACTAAGTTGTGATCGCATTTTCCTTATTCTGGTTGCGTTTTCATTGAGAGTAACGTATTGTTTAGCTCTTGTTTATATAGCATTCTATATGCAAGGCGACATGGATCAAAAGGGCCGTCAGACCATGAGACAGACATAGCAGATGGCTGTCAAAAGAAAAAAATGTAAATCCATGTTAGTTTCCATATATGGGCTCTCGATAAAATAGTTACTGAGGAAGATCTTGAGAACATTGAACAAGAAATGGAGGTTGCCATAAATGCAACGACATCCTCAGCTAACACATCTACTGCCGTGGCGGAACGTCCAGACCAGTTGCGTGACAATTATGTGGCCAACAGATTCTGTATAGTTTGTGAAAAACATTGTAGTGCAGCTCATTCTTTTGGATACTGTGGTAACGATGTCTATGTTATTTGTGGAAAACCCAATGAAGCAGAAGAAGGGTACGGAGCAAACATTACCTGCAGATTGTGTCACAACAAACTAGACATCATGGAACACAGATCAGCAGCTCATACTAGCTTGCAAACTCAAGGTGCTAAGATGCTTAAAACATCAAATACAAAATTTAAAGATGGTGAAGTGGGTGACAATGTACGCATCCGTTTTCCAGATGTTGACAGAGGTCACGGTGATCCCCGAAGCGTGATTGCAGTTGTCATGAGCGTCGAGGGCGGTTTCTACAAATTAGGAACGGCACATGGTGTTCTAAAACAACTGTATGCTAAAAGTGAGTTTTCAATTCTTCACAAAAAACTGCTCTTATTGTCGTCAGTTGGCACTGAGGAAAAATCACTACGAACCATCGCATCTTCACAATCATTGACTGGGGGCCAAGGCTACACTCGCTGCAATTGCACAACTAAGTGCACAACAAATCGCTGCAAGTGTAAAAATAACAAGCTACTATGTAATTCTAAATGCCATAAAAGTTCAACTTGTTGTAACAAATGATGATATTGATAGATTGAGACTATAGTACAATAAAAAAATTTGAATGTTTCTGTCATTTACTTTAATTAATAATCAATAAAGACTTAATTTCATGATCCTTACGGCATAAAAAAAACCAAAATCTGCTCATGATCTTCTAATTCGAACTTTGGCCGGTCGTCCCTAGCCAGATGATCTTCTAATTAAGACTTTGGCCGGTCCACCATGGCCAGTCTGCGGATTGGCCGGCCAAAGGCCGAAATCAAGCAAGGTTTCGGACTTTGACCGACCTATGGGAGGCGATATTGGCCAATGCGCGGATTGGCCGGCCAATCCTAGCATTGGCCGACTTCGGGCTTTGACCGTAACATATATATATATATATATATATACGAGTGTTTATGTGTCTCCGTTATAAGAGCCCACTTATAATTCACCAACAGAGGTTACATAATAAGCTTAATAAATACAACCTAATGATAAACCTTTAATTTCCCTTGTACTCAAGTATTTTGAACACACCCACACCCACACCTACTCTTACCCACACACACACACACACCCACCACACATACATATATATTATATATATATATATATATATATATATATATATATATATATATATATATATATATATATATATATATATATATATATATATATATATATATACATATATATCAGAGAGACCGACATTACGTTTGCCTTAATCCTAGCCTTATTCCCAGCCTTAGCTGTAGCCTAAACTTTAACTTAACTCTTACTTTCCGTTGCCTTCGAGTATTTGTCAACATACTTGCTTCCCATTACCTTTAACGTTGCCTTAACAATAGCCTTAACCTTAACCTCTAATTCTAACTTTAATCTTAGTATACCATGTCCCCAAGTATTTGCTAACATACCTGATTCCCGATCTATAAACCTAGTTTTAACCCTTGCCTTAACTGTAGCCTCTAACCTTTTCTTAACCCTAACCTTAACCCGTACCTTAACTCTAACCTTATCCCCAGCCTTATCCCTTAATTTAATCCTAATCTTAACTCTAGCCTTAACCCTAACCTTAATCCTAACCTTAACCCTAACCTTAATCCTAACCTTTACTCTAACCTTATCCCCAGCCAAATTTTAACCCTAATCTTAACTCTAATCACAACTTTAACTTTAACCCTAACCTTAACCCCAACCTTAACCCTAAACTTAACAGTAACCTTAATCCTAACCTTAGCCCTAAGCTAAAATCTAACCTTTTTCTCAGCCATATCCCTTACTTTAACCCTAACCTTAACTCTAACCATAATTCTAACCATAACTCTAACCATCACTTTAACAATAACTTAAACCATAACCTTTACCATAACTCTAACCTTATCCACAGCATATCCTTTATTGTTACCTTAACCTTAACTAACTATAACTATACCTCTAACCTTAACCCTAACCTAAACCCTAACCACAACTCTAACCCCCCCCCCCCACTTCCCCGTGTCTGCAGGAGTCTGCGACCAGACGTGGTTCCCCACCTACAGCCACGACCACAAGGGTACCGGCACCCACGGGTCAGTGGCCACCCTACAGAATCACGTGCTCAACGGTTACCTCGTGCGTGTCCAGTTCTCCACACGTGAGTTCCTCATCACGTTTGAGATGGATGACTTCACCTTCAGGGGCAGGTCAGTAGGTTTGTCGTAGGTCAGTAGGTTTGTTGTAGGTCAGTAGGTTTATGGGTTGTAGGTCAGTAGGTTTGGTATAGGTAAGTAGGTTTATGGGTTGTAGGTCACTAGGTTTGTTGGTTGTAGGACAGTAGGTTTATGGGTTGTAGGTCAGTAGGTTTGTTGATTGTAGGTTTGTTGGTTGTAGGTCAGTAGGTTTGTTGGTTGTAGGTCAGTAGGTTTGTTGGTTGTAGGTTTGTTGGTTGTAGGTCAGTAGGTTTGTTGGTTGTAGGACAGTAGGTTTATGGGTTGTAGGTCAGTAGGTTTGTTGATTGTAGGTTTGTTGGTTGTAGGTCAGTAGGTTTGTTGGTTGTAGGTCAGTAGGTTTGTTGGTTGTAGGTCAGTAGGTTTGTTGGTTGTAGGTCAGTAGGTTTATGGGTTGTAGGTCAGTAGGTTTGTTGGTTGTAGGTCAGTAGGTTTATGGGTTGTAGGTCAGTAGGTTTGTTGGTTGTAGGTCAGTAGGTTTGTTGGTTGTAGGTCAGTAGGTTTGTTGGTTGTAGGTCAGTAGGTTTATGGGTTGTAGGTCAGTAGGTTTGTTGGTTGTAGGTCAGTAGGTTTATGGGTTGTAGGTCAGTAGGTTTGTTGGTTGTAGGTCAGTAGGTTTGTTGGTTGTAGGTTTGTTGGTTTGTTGGTTTTAGGTCTAAAGTTTGTTGGTTGTAGGTTTGTAGGTTTGTTGGTTTAATGTCAGTAGGTTTGTGGGTTGTAGGTCAGTAGGTTTGTTGGTTGTAGGTCAGTAGGTTTGTTGGTTGTAGGTCAGTAGGTTTGTTGGTTGTAGGTCAGTAGGTTTGTTGGTTGTAGGTCAGTAGGTTTGTTGGTTGTAGGTCAGTAGGTTTGTTGGTTTAAAGTTTTTTAATTGTAGGATTGTTGATTGTGGGGTTGGTTGGTTGTAGGTGAGTAGGTTTGTTGAATGTAGGTTTGTTGATTGTAGATTTGTTGATTGTAGATCAGCAGGTTGATTAGTTACAGATCCGTAAGCTTGTTGAAGGTTAGTAGGTTTGTTATATTCTAGGCAGGTTAATAGCTATGGAATATTCATAGATGAACAGGCTTGTTAAAAATTGAGAATAATTCAGTTAGTTCTTTGCACATAAGAGCAATTAGTTTTTTTGATTGGTAGTTTTAAAAGTTCATTAACGTTTTTTAGTCCTTTAAAAATTCATTTAAATCAATTGAGCCCTTCAAAATTAAGTAACATTTGTGTGTAAACTTTAAAGGGTCCGTGAAACTCTTTGGTCAACTAAAAGTTGTGTAACATTCATTTGTTTATTCAAAATCTAAGTTACTTTCATTGATCCATTCAAAATTTAATTTACTTATATTGGTCTATTTAAAAGTTCAGTTACTTTCATTGGCCCATTTACAAGTTCATTTACTTTCATTGCTCCATTTAAAAGTTCAGTTACTTTCATTGCTCCATTTAGAAGTTTAGTTACACTTAGAAGTCCAATCAGAATTTCAGAAAAGTTCATCGATTCATTTAAAAGTTCAGAAAGTTCGATTCTCCCCATTTCCATATAACGGCATTAGGTGCAAATGTCTAGCACATTTATAAGAAGGCCAGACGGTTTGAAAATATATCCTTGAAATAATTTATTAAAATCTATTCATTATTTAAATATATTCAGTTTGTATGAAAATAGAATGTCTTTGTGTTTTGTTTATGACTTTAAAGGTTCGTTCAGTGCAGTGTTAGACTGTAGAAAAACTCTGCAACGTTTCCGTCTTCGCTCAGCGGAAACTGTGGTCTATTTTTAGAAGGAAAACAATTTTTGTGTGCTCCGGCTGGTATTTTGAGACAACTTGGTTGAAAGGTAGAGCGAAAAATTAAACCCGAGAATCTCTTATTCGCTTCACGGCTTGAGTACTTGGGATGTATATTAATATTAGGTATATAATTACAAAAGCACTACCTTCAGAAATATCATAGTAAACCACATTAGTTAGTTTAAAAAAAAAACCGAGATATTTGAGAAGTATTCAGGCAATGCACTAGCCAGTGTCGATACAAAACGTTGATTTTTTTTTAAAATTCCGTATCCCCTTCGTCACACATCGTAAACTATACACTTCGATCTAAGACTAAAAATAACTCCTTATGAGAACAGCTATTCCCTTCTATTCTATACATTTTTATGTTTGTGGTTGAGGTATTTTGATCTATTTCTATATTTTGAAGGAATAAAACAACAATAACAAATGTATTAAATGCAAAGCAACAGCAAGAAAACATTTTTGGCGTCACTTTTTTTTAAACAACCCCTACGTTTCGTCATTCATCGGCTCAAAATTTGCCCCCTCCCCTCCCCTCTCCTCGCAAGAGTGAAATTATTTAAAGGTTGTTATAGATTTGGTGGCAATACAGTGAAGAAAATGTTTGTAGAATTACGAAAATTACAATATTAAAAGCGCAAGAATGTTTTTTTTTCAGTACACAGCTTAGACTGTTCTGTTGTAATTATCCATGTGTATATGTGTACTCAGTAAACAGTTTAACCTGTATTGTGAACATCATATCTTTATGTGTATGTGTGTTCCCATGGCAGCCATATGTGTGGCTCGTGCAGCTGGATACTCTCAGACAACGGCACGCACATAGAGACCGACGCTGATTGGCTGCCTACTTTGGTTTGCACCAATGGAGAGGTGAGCTCCCACTGACCTAATTTTGCATATTTTTATTTAAAGCCTAATCTTAAGATTAAAAAAAAAAAAAAAAAAAAAAAAAAAAAAGAAAATGATGTAGTTCTGTTTTATGTAAGACTAGTTCACTCTTAAATAGAAAAAAAATGTGTTTGGTATGTAAGTAAGGTGGCGTTTGTAAAGTTGATGTTATGATATCATTGAGCACAGTGGCGTAGGCAGGGGGGGGTTAGGGGGGGTCATAACCCCCCCCATAGACCCCTCGGTATATATAAAAAGTATGAGGGGGGGTGCAAATCGAAAGTTTGAGGGGGGGGGGTGCAAATCGAAAGTTTGAGGGGGGGGGGGGGTGCAAATCGAAAGTTTGAGGGGGGGGTGCAAATCGAAAGTTTGAGGGCGGGGGTGCAAATCGAAAGTTTGTCCCCGGGTAAAATTGGAACCCCCCCCTTGAGACGATCCTGGCTACGCCACTGATTGAGCATAGCAAAATTGACCTACAATTATGTGTAGGGGTTAAGGAAAATGCACTTTTATGGGGTTTGGGTTAGGGTTTTGGTGATATGTTGAGAAATATGATAAATGGCGGGTAAAAGAGTTGACTTTAATCACCATAGAAGGGGAGGGGAGGTAACGACGTAATATACGTAAATAAACACAAGTGTAAGTTCATGAATGTAGTTTTTCTAAAAACAAGTTTTTTTTTAGAGTTCTATTATGTAATTTTGAAAAAAAAAACATTTAAAAACTAACAACTTAAGACGAAATAACGAAACACAACTGAAGACAAAATAAAAAGAACGAAAAAAATAACTAAAGACAAAATAACTACACACAAAATAACTAAAGACAAAATAACGAAAGACGAAATAACTGAAAACAAAATAATTAAAGACAAAATAACTAAAGACACAATATGTATAGACTCTAACGTGTGAATTCTAATTGTCTCCCCCTACCAGGTGAGCAGAATCAACTACACTTCCTCCAGCTGGACGAGTGAGGTCGGGAAGATTGACCTTGACCTTGACGGAGAGGTGTGGTGGTACACCAAGCCCACCCACTCGGGGAATGGACCCGTGTACTCACAGTTTGTTGACGGGTCGACGGCGTACGGGTCACTGGGCAAGGTAGGGGTCGTTAAGTTAGGGTCACTGGGGGAGGTAGGGGTCATGGTGGTCATTGGAGGGAGGGGTCGTTAAGTTAGGGTCGCTGGGCAAGGTAGGGGTCGTTATGTTAGGGTCACTGGGCAAGGTAGGGGTCGTTAAGTTAGGGTCACTGGGCAAGGTAGGGGTCGTTAAGTTAGGGTCACTGGGCAAGGTAGGGGTCGTTAAGTTAGGGTCACTGGGGGAGGTAGGGGTCGTTAAGTTAGGGTCACTGGGCAAGGTAGGGGTCGTTAAGTTAGGGTCACTGGGCAAGGTAGGGGTCATATTTGGTCATTGGAGGTAGGGGTCGTTAAGTTAGGGTCACTGGGAAAGGTAGGGGTCGTTAAGTTAGGGTCACTGGGGGAGGTAGGGGTCGTTATGTTAGGGTCACTGGGGGAGGTAGGGGTCGTTAAGTTAGGGTCACTGGGGGAGGTAGGGGTCGTTATGTTAGGGTCACTGGGGGAGGTAGGGGTCGTTAAGTTAGGGTCACTGGGGGAGGTAGGGGTCGTTATGTTAGGGTCACTGGGCAAGGTAGGGGTCGTTAAGTTAGGGTCACTGGGCGAGGTAGGGGTCGTTAAGTTAGGGCCACTGGGCAAGGTATGGGTCGTTAAATTAGGGTCACTGGGCAAGGTAGGGGTCGTTAAATTAGGGTCACTGGGGGAGGTAGGGGTCGTTATGTTAGGGTCACTGGGCAAGGTAGGGGTCGTTAAGTTAGGGTCACTGGGGGAGGTAGGGGTCGTTATGTTAGGGTCACTGGGCAAGGTAGAGGTCGTTAAATTAGGGTCACTGGGCAAGGTAGGGGTCGTTAAGTTAGGGCCACTGGGCAAGGTAGGGGTCGTTAAGTTAGGGTCACTGGGCAAGGTAGGGGTCGTTAAATTAGGGTCACTGGGCAAGGTAGGGGTCGTTATGTTAGGGTTACTGGGCAAGGTAGGGGTCGTTAAGTTAGGGTTACTGGGCAAGGTAGGGGTCGTTATGTTAGGGCCACTGGGCAAGGTAGGGGTCGTTAAGTTAGGGTCACTGGGCAAGGTAGGGGTCGTTAAGTTAGGGCCACTGGGCAAGGTAGGGGTCGTTAAGTTAGGGTCACTGGGCAAGGTAGGGGTCGTTAAGTTAGGGCCACTGGGCAAGGTAGGGGTCGTTAAGTTAGGGTCCCTGGACAGGTAGTAGTCTATAATATAATCTCGCTGGGAAAGATATGGGTCCTTTATTTAGGGTCACTGCTAGAAGCAGGGGCTGGGTTAATCGTCTACGTTTTGTTGGCTAACTTACGTTTCTCTAAAGTACAGTCGTTGACTGTTAACAGAAAGAATTATGTAGACTCAAAAATTCAGAATCGAACGCGAGACTTTTAGTGTATACTGATATACTGATATACACCAATTGACACGTTTAGAGGTTGGTTCTAGTCAACAGCCTTTAGCCTTCAGGCATACCCTGGGAAGCGCTTCCCCAACATACATACTACATTAGCGATCCTTTATGCTTGGCGTCATCAAAAATCTTAAACTAAGCTCAGTGCGTGGTCTAACTTCGACGCGTATGGTCCATTCGGTCCCTGCGAGCTTTTATCGTGTCCTCTAGTCTAAATTTACACTGAGACTAATTATCATTAACCAAATGAGCCCTAGAGAACTTTTCACACCTTTTTTACCTAAACACGGGCGATACAATATCCACGGAGACGGGGTCACGGAGTGCGTGGTTTGACACAGTGACCTGAAAAATTGACGCTTGCGGAGAATGACGTCATACGTCACTCAAATGACCCACCCTTAGGTCTAATTCACGTTTCGGGTTACGTAAGACACGTCGGTTTACAAAAGTTTAAAAATAGATTCTCGTCTTTATAAGACATTTTTTTTTGTTAAGTTCATTGAGGGCGTTAAATAGCGTGGTCGATTGGTAGATCGCTCGATTACTAACACGAAAGTCTCAAGTTCGGATCCAAGGATTGAGTTCGTAGTACGAACCCCAAGTCACCCAGATCTGATGGATACCTAACTTAGGGAAACAACTAAAATCGTATGGGTATGGGTATAGTGTTGACCGCACTATCCCTTCAAATACCGTGGTTATAGAAACACGAAACTTAAGTCATTAGTCTAGTGTCAGTTGTTTTTTTTTTATATACTAACAGAGATGCAGAAATTTTTGTACAAAGAAGTGTACATCTGTTTGTATGTGTGAAAAACTAACCACGAAATACATTGCAATTTACAATGATGCGTGGTTAAATTGAAAATGTCCCACTAACTTTCCTTCCACAATTCAGTGAATATAAAATTTACCTTATAACTAACCAACTGATAAAGTCCATCTAGTGGTCAGATTTTTTAAAATTAATCACTGACAAGCTAATGAAGTCTGTCTATTACATTGTTTGACATTAATTTTATTACTGTCCAGCTAATGAAGTGTGTCTATTGGTCAGTTTAACATTGCTTTTATCACTGTCCAACTAATGTAGTCTGTCTATTGGTCAGTTTAACATTGCTTTTATCACTGTCCAGCTAATGAATTCTGTCTATTGGTCAGTTTAACATTGCTTTTATCACTGTCCAGCTAATCAAGTCTGTCTATTGGTCAGTTTAACATTGCTTTTATCACTGACCAGCTAATGAAGCCTGTATTAGATAGTTTAACATTGCTTTTATCACTGTCCAGGTAATGAATTCTGTCTATTGGTCAGTTTAACATTGCTTTTATCACTGTCCAGCTAATGAAGTCTGTCTTTTGGTCAGTTTAACATTGCTTTTATCACTGTCCAGCTAATGGTCTGTCTATTGGTCAGTTTAACATTGCTTTTATCACTGTCCAGCTAATGAAGTCTGTCTTTTGGTCAGTTTAACATTGCTTTTATCACTGTCCAGCTAATGGTCTGTCTATTGGTCAGTTTAACATTGTTTTTATCACTGTCCAGCTAATGAAGTCTGTCTATTGGTCACTTTGTTTAACATTGTTTTTATCACTGTCCAGCTAATGAAGTCTGTCTATTGGTCAGTTTGTTTAACATTGTTTTTATCACTGTCCAGCTGATGAAGTCTGTCTATTGGTCACTTTGTTTAACATTGTTTTTATCACTGTCCAGCTAATGAAGTCTGTCTATTGGTCACTTTGTTTAACATTGTTTTTATCACTGTCCAGCTAATGAAGTCTGTCTATTGGTCACTTTGTTTAACATTGTTTTCATCACTGTCCAGCTAATGAGGTCTGTCTATTGGTCAGTTTAACATTGTTTTTATCACTGTCCAGCTAATGAAGTCTGTCTATTGGTCAGTTTAACATTGCTTTTATCACTGTCCAGCTAATGAAGTCTGTCTATTGGTCAGTTTAACATTGCTTTTATCACTGTCCAGCTGATGAAGTGTCTATTGGTCAGTTTAACATTGCTTTTATCACTGTCCAGCTAATGAAGTCTGTCTATTGGTCAGTTTAACATTGCTTTTATCACTGTCCAGCTGATGAAGTGTCTATTGGTCAGTTTAACATTGCTTTTATCACTGTCCAGCTGATGAAGTGTCTATTGGTCAGTTTAACATTGCTTTTATCAATATCCAGCTAATGAAGTCTGTCTATTGGTCAGTTTAACATTGTTTTTATCACTAATGAAGTCTGTCTATTGGTCAGTTTGACATTGCTTTTATCACTGTTCAGCTAATGAAGTCTGTCTATTGGTCAGTTTGACATTGTTTTTATCACTGTCCAGCTAATGAAGTCTGTCTATTGGTCAGTTTAACATTGTTTTTGTCACTGTCCAGCTAATGAAGTCTGTCTATTGGTCAGTTTAACATTGTTTTTATCACTGTCCAGCTAATGAAGTCTGTCTATTGGTCAGTTTAACATTGCTTTTATCACTGTCCAGCTGATGAAGTGTCTATTGGTCAGTTTAACATTGCTTTTATCACTGTCCAGCTAATGAAGTCTGTCTATTGGTCAGTTTAACATTGCTTTTATCACTGTCCAGCTGATGAAGTGTCTATTGGTCAGTTTAACATTGCTTTTATCACTGTCCAGCTAATGAAGTCTGTCTATTGGTCAGTTTAACATTGCTTTTATCACTGTCCAGCTAATGAAGTCTGTCTATTGGTCAGTTTAACATTGCTTTTATCACTGTCCAGCTAATGAAGTCTGTCTATTGGTCAGTTTAACATTGCTTTTATCACTGTCCAGCTGATGAAGTCTGTCTATTGGTCAGTTTGACATTGCTTTTATCAATATCCAGCTAATGAAGTCTGTATTAGATTGTTTAACATTGTTTTTATCACTGTCCAGCTGATGAAGTCTATTAGATTGTTTAACATTGCTTTTATCACTGTCCAGCTGATGAAGTTCGCCAAGTGGTCAGAGCTGAGGGCCAGTATGAGGGACCGAGGATACGCCTTTGTTCTCCAGAACCAGAAGATTTACAACGGGGAGCTCATCACAGCTCAGAGCTTAAACCACATCAGTCTCAGATACACGGAGAACTCTGTCAAGGTAGTCCAATATTCTTTATCTTTCTTGGTCTCTCTCTTTCTCTCTATGCGATCCAAAATACCTTAGACGCTCCCTTTTTTGTGTGTCTTTGTCCTCTCTGTGTCTTTCTCAGTGTGCCTCTGTCTGTCTACTATTGTCTGTCTGTCTCTCGCACAATTGTATATATATATATATATATATATATATATATATATATATATATATATATATATATATATATATATATATATATATATATAAACAAACAGGTTTATATATTATTATATTTTTTTAGATATATATATATATATATATATATATATACATATATATATATATATATATATATATATATATATATATATATATATATATATATATATATATATATATATATATATATATATGTGTATATATATATATATATATACTGGACCGTGGGGTACGAGTTTACCCTACATTAGTGGAGTGGAAGATAAGCCTGGTGAGAACCAAAGGACAGAAGCGACCGATAAACGGTTATCAAACCGATATCCAAGCCAGTCAGTCGGAGTTAGCCATGTTGAGGCCTGACTGCCTAATTGGAGACACCTCCTGAGCCGGTGATGGCCGTAAAGAAAGAAAAAAAAGTAAACAGCTTCTAAAGTGGATTCGGATAGTCCTATAGTTATAATGTTATATTATTGATTACTAAGTTTATTATTCTGGCGAAACATGTGTATGCTTTTATATGAATAAATATTTCATATTTAAAACTATTTATTTTAAATAACAAATCACATTTATTTACTTAATCCTAATCAAATAATAAAATATGATAAAAATGTGGCTCTTTAAAAACTGGGGAATTTTGAAAATTGTAACTTTTGGCTCTTCCGTCTCAAAGGGTTGCCTAACCCTGATATCTATATATATAATTCTCCTCTTCGAGCCGTTAGAAAACAAGCTGCAAACGCTCTCCCTACCTCCCCACCCCTACATGGTTTTAGTGAGCTGTGTTCACTCTAAATGTTTACAAGCAGAGCCAACGATTTTAAACGTAGGGGGGGGGGGGGGGGGAGGAAGGGGGGGGGGGTTATGGTCCTTAACGCGCTACTTATAGTGTTTTAAAGAAATATTTTCAGTGTCAGCGTTGGTACTGTCGAATTCACAAATTATGAATTACTGAAAATTAGAAACAACTAAATAGCGGCGTATGTTATGCCGCGGGCCGGCTTAGGTCTATAATTTACGTCTTACTGGTACGGTTGGGTAGCTACTGATAGTAGATTGTAAAAAAAAAAAAAAAAAAAAAAAAAAAAAAAATAAATTGTTGCATGTTAAAATATGCATGTTATACATAGTATTGCATAAAATTTTTACAATATTCTTTTCTTGTTTTTCCTTCCGTTTTCCTGGTTTCATTTTTCGTGTTCTTCTGATTTCTTGTTTTCATTTCCGTTTTCTTGGTTCCTTTGATATAACAGAGTAAAGGACAATACATGATCTCCTCTTGTAGTTCTTGGCCTTGTTTCTTTCGTGTGTTACAATCTTTGTTGGGCAGTGGTTGATTCTTGGTTGGTAGTTGTAGTTTGAGAGTATCTATGAGGGATGTGCGTTGGTAAAAGGGCGAGTCTCGTGTCTTGTCGTTGATTGTAGAGTTGTTCGAATGTAGTGGAGTTTGGAGAGAATAGTTGAGCTGGTGTCCTTGTGTGGAGATATCGTTTGTAGGTTGCTTTTAATTATTGGTCCTTGTAGTTTGAAAGAGAGTAAAATTGTTTCGTAGGGTATTCTTGCGTAGTCGAATAGTTGAAATAGGCGAAATGATGTTGAAGAACGTTTATTTTTCGTGATATTGTTGTGTCGAGGATTGTGGATGAGAAGAATTTGAGTGGTCGAGTAATCGAAAGCTTGGTCGAGTAGTTGAAATGGGCGAAGTGAAGTGGTTGACGAGTGTTTATTTTACGAGAGTTGAGTAATCGTGAAGTTGTTTGAGTAGTTGATCTTTGAGGGATGTCGAGTTGACTTGATGGTGGTTGTGACGGAGCCTCCTATCTAGGATTTCTCTTAGGTGGGTGTCGTCAGAGTGATCGTGAAGTTGTTGATATCGAACTAATTGTGGATCGTAGATGAGAGAGTTTTGAGTAGTTGATCTTTGAGAGATGTTGAGTTGATTAGCTGGTGTTTGTGCCCAAAGTCTAGATTAGAAGTTACATGTGCCCAAAGTCTAGATTAGACAGTTACATGTGCCCAAAGTCTAGATTAGACAGTTACATGTGCCCGAAGTCTAGATTTGACAGTTAATCGTGAAGTTATTTGAGTAGTTGAGCTTTGAGAGATGGCTAGTTGATCTGCTGGTATTTGTGACGGAGCCTCCCACCTAAGATTTCTCCTAGATGGGTGTCGTCAGTCTAAAAAAAAAGAAGGTTGAAAATTAGCCACTCGTACATTTAAAGCCACCCAATACAAGTACTGGGTGTCTCATCTCGAGGGCATGTGCACTTCGAGGGATGTGTGGGCGCAACCCCACAGCGGTCGTTGGCGAGATTTGCAATTGATTGCTTGATGAGTTGAGTAGTAGATTAGCCGCCTCTCGACCCCGGCAGCCGGCCCTAAGGGGGGCTGACCAACCAAATGACTAAGAGTTATGTAGATCCATAACAGATACTACACTTTAATCTTAGCCAAAGGGCCGAGAAGCTGAAAATTCTGTATGAATGAATTTATGTTTGTCGTGGATTACGATTTACAACGGGGAGCACATCACAGCTCAGGGCTTGGTCCACACCGCTCTCGGATACACGGGGAGCTCCGTCAGGGTAGTCCAATTTTTTGATGTCACTATGCGTACCAAAATACCTTGGACTCGTTCTTCCGTTTCAAGATGGCCTAACCCTCAGAAAAGTCTATAATTTGCGTCTTACTGGTATCGTTGGGTAGTTACGGGTAGCAGATTGTAAAAAAAAATTGTTCCAATCAGGCAGCTGTATCTAAGTACAGTACAGTTCAATAGAATTTTTAGATATTTATATGCGTTGAATTTTAATTTAAAAATATGTTTACAATTTGAATAGAAACATAGTTATAATTATTTTTATATTAATTTTAAAAATTTGTAACACATTAGCTACTATTAAATAATGTATTTATAAGTTTTTGCAGAAATTTTATGTTTGATGTACTATTTTGCATATGATTGTTTTATGAATGGTTTATGATAGTGATTCTAAGTTGTGTCCCTTAGCCTCCCTTTTTACTCCTATGTAAAGGCACATGGGAGATAACACATTTCCCTTTCGACAAACTCAATCATTAACTTCGAAATATTTGAATTTGTTTTTAATTTTTAAATGCTTTTCTTTTTATATAAAAACCCTTTCCAATTTTAATCTTTGCATTAAATACTTTTGTTTATAAGACTTTTTTTTGGTCATGAGCTCATCATATTTCAGTAATAATTTTAATGAATATTTTAAAAATTGTAAAATGAAAAAAAAAGCATAATTTAAGGGGTTTAAAATATTTAGGGGAGATCACTCATGTTTTTCTTTTATTTAAAACACCTCAACATAATTTACAGATGGTGCATTATTGTAGTAGTTTACTCAAAAGTCTTATACTTCTTCCGGTTGTAATTATGTCTGTTCTATTTGAAGTCATTTCTTAGCGTTAGCAGTCGTAAGCTCTACGATTCAACCATGCCGTCCTTTGGTCGGTCTTAGTTTCTTTATATGTTGTTTTGCATTTTAACCTCTTTCTAAGATCGAATGTTAAACGTGTTAAAATAATTTATTACATCATCCAGTACAACGAGGACCCCTACTACTCGTGGTACGCCGTCTGGTCCACCAACGGCCGCCGTGACGTCTCGAGGTGGCACATCAACACCACCACGCTGTACCGGCACAACAACGACTTCGTCTCGCTTGACTGGTTCGGTGACGAGTGTTGGCGTCGGGTGTATTCGACCGACGTGGACGGGTTCCCGACCTACGGCAGCCTGGAGGAGCTGATCTACATGGTCAAGTTGGGACACCGGGTAAGTCTTTAGAACCTTTGCTCGTTAATATACAGCCTGGAGGAGCTGATCTACATGGTCAAGTTGGGACACCGGGTAAGTCTTTAGAACCTTTGCTCGTTAATATACAGCCTGGAGGAGCTGATCTACATGGTCAAGTTGGGACACCGGGTGAGTCTTTAGAACCTTTGCTCGTTAATATACAGCCTGGAGGAGCTGATCTACATGGTCAAGTTGGGACACCGGGTGAGTCTTTAGAACCTTTGCTCGTTAATATACAGCCTGGAGGAGCTGATCTACATGGTCAAGTTGGGACACCGGGTGAGTCTTTATAACCTTTGCTCGTTAATATACAGCCTGGAGGAGCTGATCTACATGGTCAAGTTGGGACACCGGGTAAGTCTTTAGAACCTTTGCTCGTTAATATACAGCCTGGAGGAGCTGATCTACATGGTCAAGTTGGGACACCGGGTAAGTCTTTATAACCTTTGCTCGTTAATGTACAGCCTGGAGGAGCTGATCTACATGGTCAAGTTGGGACACCGGGTAAGTCTTTATAATTTTTGCTCGTTAATATACGGGGTCGGAGTGGTCTAGCGGTAGAGAGCTGGACTGCTAACCCGTAAGTCTCGAGTTCAAAGAAAGTCTACCCCCCCCCCCCCAAAAAAAAAAATTCAAGTGCCCTCCCCCCCCCCCCCCCCGGAGATAAAAAGTCTGGAAGAAACACTGGTCGTTACTATAAGCCAGGGGTCTCCAAACTTTTCAGCCCGAGGGCCGCATTAACTATCAAATATCAGCTCGGGGGCCAGAATTTCTTCCAGGCATCTGTTTGGTAAGGCAGAGCTCCCCCCCCCCCCCCCACCGAAGAACGTCTAGCGCTGCCCCCGCCCCCGACTAAAAATAAATTATATAGAAATATATACAAATTTCTAGTAACCGCCCCCCCCCCCCCCCCCCACGTCTTGGAGAAAAAAATCTGAAAAATAAACACTGTCGGGGACCGACAAAACGCTAAAGGTCCAAGTTTGTTCTCAAATTGTTCTTCACGTGTTTTATTCTTGAAAATGTTTGTTCACACAGGTATGTTGCTCCAAACTTTGAAAGGTAGTTTGATGCAAAAGTTTCATTATTAGGAAGGTCTTTCTTGAGCAAAAACTTATAAAATCCCACCCGCCCTTCTGTAAACTTGTCTCTAAGGAGGTCATTTGCTTGCAATTCTATAACCTCCAGCTGTAGTTCAACTGGGCACATTTGCTTCAAATGAGCTTTGAAACAGTTTCACTTCTTCTGCCTTTGAATCCAAGTCAGAAAACCACTACTGAAACTGCAGCTGGGTGTCTTTGATGATCTCGCATGGACATGACGTAAAGGTTCCTCAGCCACCTCCAACAAAAGTTGATTTTTTCCGTGGACATAAAAATCCCCGCTGGCCGGATGAGAGGCCCGCGGGCCGTACTTTGGAGACCCCTGCTATAAGCCAACGTCCCCTCCCTCAACACGAATATTACAGCACGCAATTCAACCGAACCATTTAAAAAAAAAAAACTTCGAAAAGTTTATTATTAACAAAAGTAGAAATAATGCTTCGTCGTGTTTTATTTTGTGAAATGATAAAACGGAACTATAGCTGAATCATTCGGAAATTACCTATTTTGTCTAAAATAGGCTTACTTTGAACTTTTCTTTTAAAATCCAGCACATAATTTAAGAACGAAACAAACATTTTAATATATAAATATCTCTAAGTTGCTAAATATTTGGAAATTACTGTTTCTTGTGAGGTATTTAGTTTTACTTTTAGACGAAGCTGATTGTTTCAGTAAGCTAGAACATTATGTTATCGACACTGTTTGGGTAGCCATAAAAGCAAACAGCACAATATAACTTTTAAACAGTCTAACAATAGAACACAGCATCACAGTATTGTATACTATCACGGAGACATTTGTGTAACCTTTCAAATACAACAGACTACACAAACACCACAAATGTTGATGTATGTGTTTTATGTATGTGTTTATGTATGTGTTTATGTATGTGTTTTATTTGTAAATAAAAGTTTCATTAAATTTAAAAAAAAAAATAAAAAAAAAAGATTAAAAAAATTTAAAAAAAATGTTTACTAACACAGAGAAAACGAAAGTAGTAACCTAAACCACTCCCCACAGGTGCGAGTATACTTTGACGGCTACAACCTGAAGGCCAACAGTGTGAGGGTACTCAAGGGGCTCGTCATAGCTCAGACCATAGAGGAGTTCGCCAGGAGGGGCGCCTACCCCAAGTTCGACGCCCCCTTTTTTGACGCCAGGGCCAAGGCCGTCTACAGGCTGATCCACTCGACCGGGGTTGTAAGTTCATAAGGTTGTAGGTTAAAGGTTAAAGAAAGAATTGGTTGTTGTATTGGAGTTCTGGTGACACAAAATACGCTTCTTATTTCAAAGTGTAAATGCTAAAAAAATAGCATATTTAAATGCGTTACATCGCCACAAAGTCATCTTGAAGGCAGTTGTAAAATAACAGTGTTGTAGATGGTGTTGTATGTATGATTTACACATTATCTACATTGTAATTGACAGTTGTGTTTTACTCTCTACTTATTGAGAATCTTCTTTAGACCTAGCGATCCTTTTGGCCGATGAAGTTGAAGGGTTTCTTGACCTCGGCATATAGAAAGAAGGTGTGATCACCAGTGACGTCACTATTAGGGTTAAGATTAGAATACCTAGTCCTAGTCCAACTTGTAGCATATAGGTGTCAGCAGGCAATTTTCGCTTTTTTGTTTTGAAAAATACAAATATAATGAGCAGAAACTAATTACTCTCTATAGGGCTGGTAAGTAGGTCACCAACCAGTTTTACGACTCAATAAAACCTGCATAAGCCATAGAACTAGTTGGTGACCTACTTACCAGCCCTATACGCCATTATTAGTTGTTTCTTTTTTTCAAGGGAGACAACACCAAATTAAATTTAAAAATTATAAAAAAATGTGCAACCAACGAAAAAGTTGACCGAGTTAATAAATTTGCATTAAGTATTTTAATTTAATATTACAAAAATATGTCAAAATAAACCTGTATTTTTTATTTCGAAAAACCACAATTTAAAATTACGATTAAACATAAAACTAAACACATTGTCGGTTAAGTATTCCTATAATTTTAAATATAGAGTTTACAATTGTATCCACGGTTTGCTATAGACACCGTCGCTTGTTCTATTTTCAAAAAAAAAAAAAAAAAAAATTAAGGAAAAAAAAGGAAAAAAAAAATTGGGGTCGGCTTGTCCTAGTAATCGATATCTAGACCTCTAACCCAGGGGTCGGCAACCCATGGCTCGCGAACCGAATGCGGCTCCTTTGATATCAAGATACGACTCTCGCTCCATGTACAAATATTAATAATTATATAATTATTTTTATTTTCAAAACTCATAACAAATATTTACTGTAAAGAAACAACTTTAAACGTGATAAACATTAATCATAGAACAGTGAGAACAGGTGAGGTAGAACGTAGACGGACAGCTGACAGCCGCTTGGGCACCAGGCCCAGTCCTACAGCCGTGCTGTAGACAGCCCCGTGAAGATATTCCATGTTTGCCACTGCCCAAGTTCCAACTTTTTTAAACGTCTTTAAATGGGGAATTTTATTTTATATAGAATGCACATCTCTATCTGTCAGTATGCATTAATTTGACCTGAGTGACGTCGTTTTATAGCTATTAGCTTCCTACTGTTGAACCGGGTATTGGACGGTGGGGTACGAGTTTACCCTGCGTTCGGTGGGGTTGAAGATAAGCCTGGTGAGAACCGAAGGACAGAACTTACAGAAGGGACCGATACGCTAATCAAACCTATATACAAGCCAGTTAGTCGGAGTGTGCCGTGTTGACAGTTCCTGGGCCGGTGATGTCCGTAAACCGAAGGACAGAAGGGACCGATACGCTAATGGCCAACGTCGCTTGTTCTATTTTCAAAAAAAAAAAAAAAAAAATTTAAGGAAAAAAAGGGGGAAAAATGGGGGTCGGCGTGTCCTAGTAATCGAGATCTAGACTACTATCCCAGGGTTGGTAACCGCCTTTACTTTCCCTAACGTAAACTAGGTACCCCTCAGAGCTGACTTGGACCCGGATTCGAACTCGAGACCTTCGAGTTAGCAGCCTAGGGCGCTACCGCTTAGGCCACGCGGTCCCTACTGTCTACTAGTACAAGTCCGATATTTCAAAATTGTTGTCAGCTTCTTCAAGTCAGAAGTTTCTTCCATGCATCACTTCGAACAAAATGGAATTTATAAAGAAAATATATACTTTTAACAGTGACCGCCACGCCCCCCCCCCCCCCCCCCCCCGGAAATTTTAGTCCGCCCACCGGAAATTTTAAGTGCCCCCCTACACCCTCCCGGAGATAAAAGTCTTGAAGAAACACTGCTTCAAGTTGTAGCTTCAACATCTTAACGAATCAGATACACATGTTAGTCAGTGAGTTACTATGGTAACAAGAGTGTGTACACATACAGGTGAAGACGTACACGTACACAATCGATGACTTCCAGCCGCAGACGAAGGAATCCAAGACGTACGCCATAGACTGGCTGGTGGATACACGGATATGGAAGAAGGTGGGTGGATATGTGTGGATGTCTCAAATTATGGGGCCTTGTCCTAGCAAGGGTAATAGCAATAGTTATCTTAGCTTCGTAGATCCGTGGTTCATTGTATGATTAAGCTGCATTGTTTCTTTTTCATTCCTCATTATAATGTTGGACGGCATTTTTCTTCAACACTATAAAATAGTACGTGTCAACTTTTTGTGGGCCGTTTACATGTCATGCTGCCTCCGATTTCAGCCTACTTTTTTAGTTAGATGTTGCTTTCATAGCCTTTATCCAGCCAAGAAAAACTACAAGGCAGCAGTTGTTTGATTTTGGAGTTGTCTCTCCTAGATGTGTTGCTGTCCCCAGCTACCGAGCATCATCTGCCCGTGGGGGTGGTAGAGGTGGGGGGTGGGGGGGGGGTTGTCCAACTTGGAACTTTTTGGTTTAGGAGCCATGACGTTTGCCGACCCGCCTACGCTAATCCCTATTTTTAGCTACCCATTGCTAGCTTATTTTAGCAGTACACTCCCCTTATATCCATCAACTACAGAGGATATATGCATATATATATATATATATATATATATATATATATATATATATATATATATATATATATATATATTTGTATATTTATATATTAGTTATAATAATTACAGTCGGTTAGCTTGTGCGAACTCTAGATTCATGGATTAGATATTTGAAATAAAATGCATCTCTGTTAATTGCACGCAGGTGTTGCGAACTGATGCCTTCGGTGGCAACACGTTCGGGATACCGCTGGACCTGGAGGAACCAGTACTGGCCGGTGCCAGCGTGCGGCTAAATATAGAACAGGACGAGTTGGCTGGTCAGTTTTTCACTGAGGCGGACAACATACGTATCAACATCTATACTAATGAGGTAAGGTGACAATGTGACACACGTATTACTTAATACACTAATGAGGTAATGTGCCATTTTAATAATAAATGTATTAATTAACATAATGATTAAATAATGTGATAATGGGACAACATATGTGTTAATTAAAAACTAATTTGGTTAAATGACAACACATGCATTAACATCTGCATTAATACGATTTAGAAGAGGCACATTTATAAACATATTTGACTGATGATTTAATATGACATCAAATATGACGAGAACTCTTTGAATGAGTTGGTCAGTATTTGGGTACTGAGATAAATATACATCATAGTACTGACATAACCCCCCCCCCCCCCCCACACACACATGTTTACATCAGAGGATGAGATTATTTGCCATTGTAAGTAACATAAATGGCAGATATAACATTCATCCATTTTTAGCATTGTGTCAACTTATTGCGCATCACATTCGCAGTTGATAATTAGTAAAATATATCAGAAAATCAGTTTTTCAATTATAATATATATATATATATATATATATATATATATATATATATATATATATATATATATATATATATATATATATATATACATGGGTGTAGACGTATATTAGCTAACTTATATATTTCTGTGTCTGTGTATGCCTGTGTGTCTGTGTGTGTGTCTGTGTGTGTCTGTGTGTGTGTCTGTGTGTGTGTCTGTATGTGTGTGCCTTTGCGTCTGTGTGTGCCTTTGTGTCTGTGTGTGTGTGTTTGTTCGTTTGACGACTTTGTCCCAAGCGTCCAAATTTGACCTTTCTTAATTTTACCTGACTCGCCCTCTAACGACCTTGACCTTGTGTCCACTCACCCTCCCAGATCTACGCCCAGGCCCTGAAGCACGTGAGCGACCAGAAGGTTCAGACAGTGGATGAGTACATCCTACAGAGCGACCTCTTCCGCTGGTCACTCATGGTCAGCTCCGGGGGCGTGGTGGCCATGAACGCCCGGAAGTTGTCCACCCGCCAACACCTGTACGACGCCGTTTCCCCGGCGACCAACGTCACGTGGTTTGTGAACATTTAGAAGCGCGGCAACATCCGGTGGGGGGGCAGGATCTATTTTTAGAACGTTGGGGATTTTTCAAGTTTATAAATAGGAAATCGATTTCCAAACATTGAAAGATATCTTTCTCAACACGGTTTTAATTAGCTTTAATTAGCGTGTAATTTTTTAGGAATAACAAATACAATTTACAATTATTTAGAATTTAAAAAAAAAAAATGAAAATCAACTGGCTGTTAACATTTCAGGTAATAAAAATTACAAAATAAAACTTGTTCACGCTAATAAATGTGGACAGTTCTAATTGAATTTATAGTTACAATACTTGTTGATTGTAGAGGAAGTTAATTTTATTGATTATTTATACGATTAAGTCTTACAAATATTGCAGATTTAACGTTTTTTTTTAAATTTATACTTTTTAATTAATACAGATGTTAATGATAAAACAGAACTTTAATTATTGATATGTTGATTATTTTATAATAATACTTTTTAAAATAAAGTTAATGGCATGTCTAACAAGTAAATGGGCAAAATTATGTATAGATGATATCATTAAATTCTACACAATCTTAGAATATGTTAAGATCAAAGTAAAACTCAGAAACTTATAACTGCAGCGAAAAGCACAATACTATTTTATGTCATGTTTTTCCCGGTTATATAATAATCTATGATGTACTCGTACCAAATAAATTTAACCATTACCATTTTATTTTTCAATTAACTTAATTTTTAACCAAATCGAACATGTGTTCAGCGAGGTGGGTCGAATCTTCAGTACGATTCTGCTACAAGGTTACGTAACAACTTTGCTGGGTCTATGGAGTAATGTCGAACTGGTCTTCTACGGTTTCGAACACGGGACTCCATTAAAAGATGTGTAGAGTTGTCCACAAGTTTCAGTAATCATAAGCTGCTGTAGCCCTATAACTCTGACGATTTAACGTTGAAGTTTACAAGCATCTTCTGACCAGGATGAATTATTGTCATCTTCCGACCAAAACGTTTTATTGATTGAATTTAGAGAAGTATGAATTTAAAGAAAACAACTTTGACACGAATGTATTAGTTTGTTGTCTCGGAGTGAAATAAACTTCAAATTCATATGAAAAAAAATAATTTGTCTTTGATTTTGTTACACCAAGTTTACTTGTCCTGTTGTGTCTGTGGTCATGGTAGAGTTATATGTAAAGTCACGATACCATTTCGGATTGGAGGTGAATAGAGCAGGTGAAGTAGAGTTTACCTGTTTCCGTGACCTACATGTCAGCACATATTATAAAGGCCGTAATATTGTGCTAATCACATACTATATTCATGTTCATGTGTATTTCTGTAAAAAAAAATTCTGATAGATTTTTTTTTTATAAATTACTTTCGCCTAGAAACATTGTCAAAAAGAATATTTTATCGCATCCTTGAGAAACAAACACCCTCAGGTTATTTTGACCTAAACACCACTGAATACTCTTTACCCCTTGTTAAGCATATCGCCTCAAACATAACCCTCCATTTTGTCTTGTCCCCGGCTGTTGACTATACAACCTCCCAAAACATTCCTGCTGTCTTCAGTTCTTAAAGAAGACTCCGCCTCCAGGTCTGTCTTGGGCACCATTTCGTTCGCTTTCCCTGGGGGGGTTCCACTCAAGGACTTTAATATAACTTGTCTGAAATATATTGTATTTGGGAAGAAAAATGGATGCTGCATTGCCTTTCATTCTCAGCAATTTATACCTTAAAAGTTGATAGATTCACCTCACATGGAAAAAGAAAAAAAAAGGCAGATCGAGGCGGACCTGGAGACGTGACCTGGAAGATGACACCAAAAAGATTGGATACACCTGGGAGCAGTTGGAGACTGTTTTTTCCAGAATTTTTTCTCCGGGGGCACTTGAAATTTTTTGGGGGGGGGGGGGGGGGAGGGGGCGGACACTGTTAAAAGTATATATTTTCTATATATAAATATATAAATCTCATTTCGTGCGGGAGGAGGGGAGGGGAGGAGCGGTAGACTTTCTTGAAGAGAAGCCTAGAAGAAACTCTGGTTAGAGTGACTAGAACAGGACAGAGACGCCTGGAAAGCTCTTGTCAGCTGCCTATGTCCCAGGAGGGGCGGCAGGCAAACCTAAACCTAATTTAAAATATGGCTTCGTTATTTAGTTGTTTTTTTCTACTTTTCATTAATTCATAATTTGTGAATTCGACAGTACCAATGCTGCCACTGAAAATATTTGCTTTAAAACACTATCAGTAGGTCGTTAAGAACGATACTACCCCCACCCTCCTTTCCCCCAACCCCTACCCTACACCCCCCCCCCGTGAAAGCAGCCTCCTCTTAGTTACCTCCCCTAAGTTTAAAATCGTTTCAAACTAAATTATCTGCCCCTAATAGCCGTCATTAAGCCCGGCTCTACGAATGTAAACATTTAGCGTGAACAACAGCTCACCAAAGCATGTAGGGTTGGGGTGGTAGGGAGCGCGCTTACAGCTTGTTTTCTAGCGTCTCCCAGAAGAGAATTATATATAGAGATATAGATGGCTTCGATGTTTCAGTGTCTTTAACTGATGTTAAATAAACGTACCACCGGTTCTGCTCCGCGAACAACTCCTTTGCATTGTGACATGAAAATGTCCACTGCTAAAGAAAATGTCCAATCTGTTAAACATGACGGGGTTTATCAAATGTAGGGCCTATAACGTATGCTTTTATTAAGGTACCACTATTTTTGACGTTAAAGAATCTTGTCAGACCAGGGTTCACTTGTTTCTCTTGCCATCTTTGTTTTCGTCGACTATATTTGGGTACTTATCAGAGCTGAGTGGACTCTGGGACATCAGTGTTCGATGGGCCGTAATGGAGACCACCGAGTTGACAAGAATCCTTCTATCATATTGTTGACATGGATAAAAAAAAATGTAAAAAAAATATTTTGACTTCTTAGCGGCCGTAAAAATAATTAAAAAATAAAAACTTAAGCCAAAAAATAATTCAGTAATTTAATATTTTTAGAATCAATGTTATAAAAGTTGCAAATCCAGAGAACTAAAAATAGTTTTTTGACTTTAAGGCTACATTTTTATTTATTTTCATCAAGCTAAGGTATAATCGGATGCAGAGGCGAAGCGATGGGGGGGGGGGGCAGGGGGGGGGGGGACATATGTCCCCGGGCGCCGACCTTAGGGGCGCCAAAATGGGTTGTAAAAACAAATTAAAATGTCAATTTAGCTGCATTTTTGCAGTATAAGGGGGGGGGGGGGGGATTTAAAAATTCTAGTTCTGCCATTTTGTTTACGTTTTGCATAGTAAAATTTATGCTAGCCTATCGAATGTCATTGTTTATGTCGGCATTACCACGTGAAAACCAAATTGCTTTTGCCTTTTTTAAAAGTTGTGTGTTTAATTACCGAAAATAGTAAAACGTCAAATACACCCACTCTTTTTTAAGATCCGAAAAAAAAACACCCCAAACATTCAGGATTTTATAACCATATTCATTTTAATTACACCGCGTATGATTTTAAAAATATTTCATGGGTCTCTCGAGTACCTTTGAGACTATTCTCGATTGGGTCCATTTGTAAACAGAAATCATCGACTTGTGGCAGTAATAGTGTGCTGTAGCGATCAATCTTACCGTCACAATGGCCCCACCTGCTAGTGTCTCTAAGGTACATTACATATTTTAAGAATATTGCTCGGTATTACAATTGTGTCGCACTTTTCTAAGGTATGGAATATTTGTTGATTTTTGTATTTTCGAAAATGTATATAGCAATTTGTAATCTAAACGTTGAAATAATGACATAAACATAGACAAAATGAATTTTAATAGGCTATCATAAATTATAAGCAGAGTTTCTTCCAGCAGGCACCCCCCCCCTGAAGAAAGTCTACAGCTTACCCCCCCCCCCCCCCGAACGAAATGGAATGTATATAGAAAATATATACTTTTAACAGTGTCCGCCCCCCCCCCCCATCTCAGAAGTTTTAGTCCGCCCCCCCCCGTCACCCCCGAAAATTTAAAGTGCCCCCCCCCCTGTCCGGGAGAAAAAGGTCTGCAAGAAACTGAATAAGGAAATGTATAAAGGCACAATTTTTTTATCACGTTTTTCCTCGTTGACAACAATAATGTTCGGGGGCATCATATTAAATATTTTGGGAGCGATTTTGAACCGAATTACGTACAAGGAAAATAGCATTAGTCTAAGCCGAATCCAAACATAACCCATAACCCTAATCCGTAAAACTTTTATAATATTTTGCTGCAAGCTGAACTGTATGGCTTTGTCGCGATCAGTAAAGTACATATACGACCAATATATCACAAAACTTTGCTTTAAAATTCGCTCTACGCATAAACTACGTTTGTGTGTTTTCATTCAGCGCAGTGCGGTGTAGAGAGTAAGAAATGATGTATGATGACGAATGACGTCATGACGGCTCTACACGAAGATTCATCACACATCGTGTCAGCCATCTTGGTTGGTGTTCGACACAGGAGAGCATATAAGCATGGGTTTATTGGTAGAGATGGTGTGCTGTGTGAGACGTGTGTGTGTGGCGTGTGGGGGCATTGGTTGTGTGTGTAATTTGTCTGGGGTGTGGGATTTGAGATTTTAGCAGGGTATAGAGAAATTTGGATGGAAAGTGTATGGGTTATGTAAATTGTCTATGGAATAATATGGGGCGTGTATGTAGGGAATGTGTTGAATCTATGATGTGAGTTATGTGTGTGGGTTGTGTGGGGACATTGTTGTGTGTGTAAGTTGTGTGGGTTGTAGGGAATTCAGATCTGAGCTGAGATTGGAGAAATGGTTAGGGAAAATGATTAGGCTATGTTAAAACTGTGGGGTATGTGTTTGTGGGGTGTGTAGCATCTCTAATGTGCGTAATGTGTGTGGGTTGTGTGGGGGACTTTGTTGTGTGTGTAAGTTGTGTGGGGTGCCAGTATTTAACATCTGAACTGGGATTGGAGAAATGATAAAGGAAAGTGTGTAGGCTGTGTTATAACTATGGGGAATGTGCGTGTGGGACGTATAGAATGCGTAATGTGTGGGGGTTGTGGTGTGAATTGTGCGGGGGTGTTGTGTTTGGAGTTGGATTAGCAGTCTGTGTGTGGGAAAGTGTGAGTGTTTTGTGTAGAGTGGTGACGAGTTATCTTAGCTCTAATGTGTACTTAACTCAGCCTGATGTGGGTACAGGCTACCCAGTTTTCTGCTGAATAGAAAACTCCAAAGCATTTGGGTCAAAAACAAACGATGAATTACAACTACAGTTGGGGTCTTCTACAGTTTATGTTGAAAACAAGGGTACTTTAAACTAGTCTAGGAACAATGAAGATACTAATTTTACACTTAACTGCGCCAACTATACACTTAATAACGCGCATGCTATATTTAACTTTAACTTCAATTAGCCATTTAAAAAAATAAAGTAATAATTCGTCTTTAAGCCTAGCGATTCTTTGGGCAGATGAAGTAGAATAATTATGTTTCTTGTTTCTTGAACGGTCAAGCCCCAATGATTGCTACTGTATTATTTGATGCAACTTCTGAAAGGTATATAAATACACTAAAGCTTAAAGAAATACTTATATCTAACATTTTAAAGAAAATTGTCTTTTTATGCAAGTAAAGTAAAGATACCATTTAGACCTTGTGATCCATGAGGCAGATTACATAGAATAATTATGTTTCTTGACCTCGGCATTTGAAGGGTTAATGTGGTCAGCACTATGTCCATCTGCCTTTGCTTTCACTAGCGTCAGTTAGGTACCCATCAGAGCTAAGCGAACTCAATGACGTTCTACTGATTTTAATCCTGATTCAAACTCGATTCTCTCGGGTCAGCAGTCTAGCGCTCACTTCTAGACCACGCCGTCCCATACACCAACAATACATTTAGCGGTTCCAACTCCACATACTCTAATCACACGTAGACTGCATTTAACCACACACTACACTTTAACGTTTAACCACACACTACACTTTAACGTTTAACCACACACTACACTTTAACGTGTAACCACACACTACACTTTAACGTTTAACCACAC